GACCGGCAAGCATCACGAATTCTGGGCCAACCTCGTGCAGGCCAGGCTTATCGGCCATAGCAGCGCCTGAAGACGTGCGGTATGGCGGGATCCGCGTGGATTCCTGCCTAACACCTCCCCCTTGAAGTTTGTTGATGTAGCTTCGAAGCCGGGGTTTCACTTGCAATGGCCTCACTGGCTTGCGGATCCTGTCTTTCCAGCGTCGCGATTGTAATCCGTGCTCAGGCTGGGCCTCTGACGAAGCAAGTGATTGATTTTCTGGGGGTGATGCCGGGATCAAAAGTGTCCAGAAGCATTTCTAGACTCATATCACTCGGTCCTGTAGGCAGGATCTGCGCATCTGTCGGCCGGATTTGGTTCGCGTGGCGTATCTACTGGGCTGGACCAACTTCAGCACTTTGCCGCGCCGGCGAAGGACGAGTTATGGGATCCATGTAGTGTGTCTGCCGCTGTTTTCACGAACCAACACTCTCTGGCCTTCGCTTAATGCGCGCGCAGTTGCTCCATGATGCCGGTTGAACTGTTCCTCCATTCTGCTGTTGCGGTGACCAGTCTGCTTTGTTTGTGGCCGGATAGTGTCATGCGGTGTTCGGAGCCTCCTTCGGAGCTGCTGGTGATACACCATCAGGTGAGTTAGGGCTTGGTATCGCTCGATATACCAGCAGGAACTTTGCAAAATCTCTTCCGTTGGTCCATCCCACTTGGACTTCTGAAGTGCCCGCTTGAGAGTGTCAACAAAGCGTTCCGCTTGGCCCTTTGACTGTGGATGAAACGTCGGCGAGCGTATATGCGTTATGCCATACACTCGACAAAAGTGTGCGAACGCCGGCGACGTAAACTGACTGCCGTTGTCGGATACAATAATCTCTGGCGTCCCAAAACGACTGAACAATAGCCGGAGTTCCAGGACTGTAATGGCAGTTATGGGGCTGTTCACCGGAAAAATTTCCGGCCATTTGCTGTAAGCGTCGACCAGGACCAAAACGTGTTGGCCACCCACTGGACCTGCATAATAGATGTAAAGATGAGACCAGGGTTCGGTCGGTTGCGGCCACGAGTGAAGGTAGGGTTTCACCGGTGACTTGCATGCTTCAGCGCACCGCGGGCAAGATTTCGAGACTTGCTCGATATGGGAGTCCATCAAAGGCCAGTAGACATAACTCCAAGCAAGGGCCTTCATCCTGTTTGTTCCCGGGTGCTCTTTATGGAACTGATCCAGGACGGCTGGTTGTAACTTCTTTGGGATGAACACACGTTCTGAAAGCAACAGGCATCCATCGGCTAGTGATATTGCGTCACGCCGGTTGAAGTAAGGCCTCAGTTCATCTTTTTAGCAGGTACGCGGCCACTGATTGTGATGGTGCTTTATGACTTGCTGAAGCACAGGGTCTTGGTTAGTAGCCTGGCGGACCATGTCGGCATGTAGCGGACTAGGACCTTATCAGCCGGAAACTACGTGGTTAACCTCTGGTTCCAAGGCAATCGTTGCGATCACGGTATCTTCTGGTTCTGGCCTGCTTGAATCAATGAGTCGGGACAGTGCGTCGGCTTGTCCCAGGCTGGTAGTGGACTGGTATTTTATCTGGAAGTCGTACCCCAGAAGCAGAGTGGCTCATCGCTGGAGCCGGTTGGCAGTATATGCAGGAATTCCTTTCTTCGAGCCAAACACAGCAAGAAGTGGCTTTTATGACGTTCAACAGTTGACACAAACACAGAGATTAATTCCCACTGGTTAAGCAGTCAACAAACAGTTCAACGGAGCGTAAGTACGCTCATTCAGCAAGAAATCAGCAGGTCGCGCTGGAAAATTGTATATTCGTAACATTAAAACAAACGTCATGATACAATGTGAACGATAGTTACAAAGTGTGGTTTAAGTTCAGGAAAGATGGTAAATGTGACAACGGATTACGGACACTACAGGCAGTCACTGGGAAGATGCGAACCGCTTCGGATACTACAATGTTAACCTCTGGTTCCAAGACAATTGTTGCGTCTGTCTTCTGGTTTTGGCCTGCTTGACTCAGTGAGTCGGGACAGTGCGTCGGCTTGTCCCAGGTTGGTGGTGGACTCGTGTTTTATCTTGAAGTCGTACCCCAGAAGCAGAGTGGCCCATCGCTGGAGGCGGTTGGCAGTATATGTCGGAATTCCTTTCTTCGAGCCAAACACAATAAGGAGTGGCTTGTGATAGGTCAGTAGAGTGAACTGACGGCCGTAGAGCATCTTATGAAACTTCTCAACCGCAAACAAACACGCCAAGGCTTCCTTTTCTATCTGACTGTAGTTGCGCCCGGCTGAAGTCAGGGATCTGGCCGCATGTGCAATGGCTTTCTGGCTGCTATCTGGAAATACGTGTGAAATCACTGCGCCAATTCCATAGTTCGAAGCGTCTGATGCCACAACGATTTCCATCGATGGATCGTAGCGTGTGAGTAGCAAATCGGTACTTAGCATGGATTTGACAGAGTCAAAGGCGCGTTGGCATTCTTCTGACCATGTCCACTTGTGGTCCTTGGTAAGTAGCTGATTTAGTGGGCCTCGAAGGCGATGCATGGCAGGCAGAAACGAACTGTAGTGACTGACGAGACCGAGGAAAGACCTGAGGGACGCCACGTCTGTGGGTGCTGGCATACGTCTGATCGCTTCAATGTTCTCCGGGTCTGGACGGCGGCCATGTTCGTCAATAATGAACCCCAGGTACTTTATCGACCGCATGAAAAATGTGCATTTCTCTCGGCGCACTTTGAAGCCATATTCTTGAATACGACTAAGCACGTAATCAAGGCGCTGCCACAGTTCGTGGGGATTGGAACCCATGACAATGAGGTCATCCAAATAGGCGGCAACGCCTGGTGCATCCTTCAGCATCGTATCCATAATCTGTTGAAATATGGCCGGCGCTACTTTGACACCAAATGGCAGTCGAGTGTACTGGGACAGACCTCGATGCGTGTTGATCGTGAGAACTTCTCGGGGCTCTTCCTCAAATTCAACCTGGCGGTACGCATCGGCCAAGTCAATCTTCGCGAAACATTTACCCCCATGCAGTTTCGCGAACAAATCATCTGGGGGAGGCAGAGGCTATTAATGGGTACCCAGTGCCGCGTTGAGATCGGTGGAGAAATCTGCGCACAACCGGATTGTCCCGTTAGCCTTCTTCACCAACAGGATAGGTGCGGCCCAAGCAGAGTAGTTGGTTGGTTGGAGAACACCCGTCTTCTGAAGTCGGTCCAGTTCTTGGTTAATGATAGGCAAGGCTGCATACGGCACTGGACGTTTTGGCCTGAAGACTGACTTGGCACCAGGGAGGAGGCACAGTCTGGCTCTTGCTTTTGTACACAGTCCAAGCTCGTCAGTGAATAGAGATGCATAACTTTGTAGGAGGCAAATGAGTTCTTCCGGGTGCTGCGTGTATGCCGTTGCAAATTGAATTGACTTGTTCATCCAGCAGATCCAGATTTTCGATCCCATCTACCCCCATGAGATCAAGTTTGGGGCATGACGTCAGGTAGCAGGTGGCTTGTGCCGTCGAGTCATTGAAGTTAATGAGGCAGTCAACCTCGCCAGTCAACTTCAGTTTACCACCGGAAGCATTACGGGCACAGTGTTCAGTCGGCTTCAAATGTGGCTTACCGATTCGTTTTCACATTCGTTCACTGAGCAGCGTGATATCGGAGCCAGTATCAATTTGCAAACGAACTGGGATGCCGTTGATACGGACCGCCAGGAACTTCATTCGGCAAACAAAAGCAACTTGGAATGTCGCCGTCACCGAGTTGGACCACAATTTGTGGGCTGCACGGTGGTGTGCGGGTGGCTGCAGTCTTTGAGATCGACATAAATATTCTTTGTGGACGCGACGACTGCACCTGGAACATTTGTGACGCCTGAACAGGTGATAACGAGCAAAATGCCACTCACCACAATGCCAGCAAATTGTGAGAGGCTTACCCTGTCGTCGATTGGGCTTCTTGTCGGATTTCCTGGGCACGCTGGAGTTGATTGCCTGTACACAGCTGCTTGAGGTCACAGGTGACTGACCGATCATAGCCGTGTCGTGCTTCAGGTTGATGAGGCGTTGGCATTCAGTGGTGAGGCTCTGCAACGTCATTTCGGCATCCTGCTAAATTCTGTTAAGAAGCCGGGTTCTGATGTCGGCATCTTGGGATGACTGAAGACGATACAAAAATGAGGCACTTAAATTTATTCTCCGTCATTGAGCTGAGCTTGAAGCGCTCGCATTCTCGATTGACAACACCGCCAAACGTGATGAAAACATCATCACCTTTCTTGACCAACTTTAAGCATTGGGAGTGAATACTGAACAGTGATGTTTGATCGCCGATTATATGGGACAGTGTTTTGACCGTTTTATCAAAGCTGAGGTCGCGGGGCAGCTTGGGGAGAATTAAATTTGTGAACCGTTCATGCTCCGGTGTGCCGAGTTGTCGCAGCAATAGTCTGACTTTCCATCCATCGTCAAATTTGGAAAAATCAGTTTTGAACATGTCTTCGTACCGCTTGAACCAGGAGTCAAAAGTGTGACCAGAAAGAGCGTCAAATGTGAACTCCGTAATTGAGGCCGCGGCTGCATCAGTTGAGGAAACAGAAGACTCACCAGTACTGACTGCTGCTGTCTGGATATGCAGTTTCTGAGTCAGTGATTCAATGAGCTTCAGTTGCGCTTCTTCAGACTGCTTTTGTTGCTGCTGCAATAGGTCTCGAAGCTGATCAAATCCGATTGACAACGTGGGTTCCCGTTCGTCAATTGTAGTAACGGTATTTTCTTCAGCTTAGTTCTCGGTCTGAGCCTCCCAAGCTAGCGTTCACGTCAAAACAACCACCAAAGGTGCACAAGGTATATTAATGCCCAAAACGAAGTCAAGAACAGTTGTACAACGCTTCGTATATATAGCGTAAGCGGTTATAACCTTCTGGAAGCCCTGACGCGTTCTGAATGCGACATTGGCAACCGGCATTTGGCCAATACTGGGTCATGATTAGCTGTTGGGTCCAGATTGTTGACCAATCAGATCTCGTCTTGATGCCGGACCGGCAAGCATCACGAATTCTGGGCCAACCTCGTGCAGGCCAGGCTTATCGGCCATAGCAGCGCCTGAAGACGTGCGGTATGGCGGGATCCGCGTGGATTCCTGCCTAACAAGTATGTTAACTAATAAATAATGCTTATTTTTAAAATATAGCTGCTTAAATGTCTGCGAATATGTAAGAGTTCATTCTACAACCCAGTCGGCATTACAGGATGGCGACCACGAACAATCCGAAGTTAAATAGCCTATTTCGGGAGGAGTATACTAAAGGCAGAACTCATTGAGGACGATGTGCTTGGTGCTACCATGTTCTGCCCGAAAGCGCCGAATGAATGTTTATATTAATTGCGCTTTCTGTGAGCAAATAGTGACTTACTCAGGCGAAAATGATTATATCTCCCTGAACGTTTGACAACGTTATTTTTAGTGAATTAATCCCTTAGTAACGCGCAGTGTCTAGCGACCTAAGATATCTTGAGTTATCACTAATTCACTCGATCATTCTTACTTAAAGAATTTCTGACGGAATCGGAACCATTTGATGTGTAATGGCAGTTTAAACTATCAGAAAAATGTTTGACTTCAAATAAGTTACGAAAAACCCATGAAAAACAATGAAGAGAACGGAAAAGTAAATGGGTCACTGAACGCCAGAAAAGTGAAGAACATGATTGCCACGCGGTCAAGGACTTCGGTAGACTGACTGAGAAAACGTGTATCTTAGAAATGAATCAAGTGATTTGAACGAGTTTTCGCACACACAGTTGCATGCGCTAAGCACCTTACTTTATTTCAAAGTAGGTTTGTTAACCTCATGTTGGTGGCCATATATGACACATGGCTAAAAATGGTATGGTATCACAACAGTGTACAAACCTGCGTTCAGTTAGGACAACTTTTTACCTGTTGCCTCAACGTACTGCATGACGTGCGGCAGGAAACAGAACACAACGTGCATTTTGTCACTCTGATACCTTGCTTACCTTCAATCAGGGTGAAAGCATCACATGAAGCAGCGTGGGAGCTGTGAACTCGGGTTGAGATTTTCTTTTAGCTTATTTGTAACGACACCGTATCGTGCATCATTATTTTTCCAGAAACTAGGATAAACTTCCGGATTCACTTTAACCAACAACTTCGCAACAAAATGCCTGTACACAAGAACATCTTCCGCTTTACTATTTTCGTTCCGTAAACTTGTTTACATACAAGCTCTTTGGCAAAATGGACATCAGATATGTGATACGTTGAATACGAATGTGATTTCTACCGATAAGCCATCGATTGAGTTCTTTGAAAACCAATGCTTAAATCAACAAAGTTACTCGGGAAACGAGCTACTTCAAACTATGTCATAATTATGCAAATTACTTGGTCTGTAGCGTGAACGATTTTGATCTAATTTATTCTTGTATTTTGCGAAATGAACGTTTGCCCTGGACAACAGTTGATTACGCAAAAATCATGAATATTACGCTGTTGATTTGGTTTTCGAGCAAGAATAATGGAGTTTGCTCAACTAAACTGCTTGGTTACCCAACAGAGACAACGAATCAGTGCCTGTTACTCACCGTTCTCCATGTGCAGTTGTTAAGATTGATACACCTCAATGGAAACTTCACCCCACAAATAGGTTTGCATCGGTACCCCATTGCAATCTTCAGAGAATATCAGCCTGGTGTGTATAAAATCATGTGAATTTCCCGGCTCATTCCAAGCTCTCCGTGTCATTAATAAAGCAATGATTTACGCATTTCTGGGTTACAGACTATGCAAATCTTTCATGAGAGCTTGTCTCGAAATCATTTGCAAACATAATCCGAACCCAGAATTCGGGGTCTTTGTCCCAAACAGGGATAGAAATACCACAATTTTGTTCTACAAAGAAGAATATTATCGAAAATATCAAAAAGGAAATTTGTTCAGTGTGCATTTGAACATAAAAGTTTATTCCTGTGCAACAATCCAGAAGAAGCAACGTAAAAAGCTGGTTTTAAAGGACGTTTAGTCTTAGTCATTTTCCCCATCTTTGAAGCAACATGTCTTATGTAGTCAGAGATGTCTACCTGGATAACAAAATTGGTATTCAATCAAATTATACGTGGGCAACTTTTCACTTCTTGCGGTACAGTTATTGTATTCAGTCTACACCAGAAAAAGTAACAAAAAACAACTGACATTTCATTTTTCTCAAGAGGGATTGCAACTCATCAGTCATGTGTAGCCTTGGCCATTTGATTACCGAACATGCACAATCTGATAAAAGTTTCATTGACAGTATGAAAGCAAACAATGAAACGGAACACTGACTTCATTGTCGAAGTACCCAGAAGATGATCATTAGTTTTTAGCTTAGTGGTTCTTCCTTGCCTTATAATTTTTCTTCAAGATCAAATCCATAAAACGGGCCCACTGTCGCCCCTCATTCTTTATCATTTCCAACTCCTGAACCGTCTTCCTCTGAAATCTCATCATCATACAGGATATCTAACAAAGCTGTTGGTGTCAGATTGTTTCTGCAGCTTTCGCAGTACAGTGACAAATGCCGCGAATGTGATTCGCTCGTAGTGGCTAAATTACTGTACTCCGAAGAAACTGTCTTTCATTTTCTAAGCTGTACTTTAGGTTTCTCTGTGTACAAGAAGAAACAAACAAGCAACGACCATTGGTAGAACCGTATTTTTCCTTTCTTTCGTCACCTTCAGAGACGTCCGTCTAGTAGCAAACACCACATTCTTCTAGGTTCCCAAATTGTCCAATGCGTGCGTAATGCTTTTAGCTGTTGTTTTTTCACATTGGTACACTATTTACGTACATACTGCGGTCATCTCAACCGTCCACGCTTGATTTCCAATATTGCACTCGGGCCTGGGGGCTTGATTTCTTCTTGAGTCCCTACATCATCCATCGCCATGACCTTAACGCTTCCAATAACTTTCGTTACCCGAAAGTTGGTAAACTTCCAAGTTATCTGATAGCCAACCACACCAGAGCAGTAACATGCCTAGTAAACACAGTGTTAGATAAATGGCCAACACTGTTACCGATGGTGGACCAACTTCAAAAGACGGCTTTCAGTAAACGGTTTCAGATGGAAACCACGAAAAATTGAAATGGTGGCAGGACTTCTCGTGTTCACTCAGGATTGGGTTGACTCGATATTCGTTCAAAGAAATACGTTGTAGCATTTAAAGCAACAAGATTATTATTCTTGCAAACGAATTAATACCATCTTGCCCCGGAAATTTGTAAACACCAAGAATTGTTAGTTCCTCACGTTATCCATCCACCAGTTTGTGAGCGCAAACCAGATGACCAACTATGAAGCTTTCTTTTAGCTGGCCTATTCGTGTTACATTCTCCGTTAGTTAAAATGGAATATCAAAGGGTTTGGCTTACAGTCTTTTATACTTCTTAGTATGTGACGCCGAAACCTTCGCCAAGCCTTGTCATCTTCAGCCCCATGTTTTACAGCACTATTCTCTTCTGGTACATCATCTGGTGCACCTTTCATTGTGTTTGTTTTTTCTTCCAAACACTGAAGGGTGATCATAACATTGGCAAGCTGGCACTACATCTCACCAATGCTACTACTGCTGGCCAGACAAACGCACTCAAATTTTATCCACTTAGTGTGATTCCATGCACAACGAAATTATATAAGAAGTCGTTTGATAAGTAAAAAAGTCTGGGGCACAATTTTTCTCTCATTTTTCCCTTGCTATTCCATCTAATCAATAAACAAGTATAATTATACCAATAGCATGTTTTGGTAACCCAGTCTAGTTTGTCTGCTAAGCGTCTGTATGTTAGACTGCTCTACTGCGGTAGTTTCTATACAAATTAGAAAATTAGGTTGATAAAAATACTCATACTTCAAGAATGATTTTAAGGAATGCCACGTGGCAAACAACGTGGTACAAGCTTGGTA